CGGCCGGCTGGCCGGCCGACTGTGCCAGCCGAGTCTGATACCTCCGAGTCGGAAGATGAAGACAGTGCGAACGAATCTTACACCACCGCGCGGACATCGCGGCCAACGCGTGCGCAAGGCGCAGCAGATGACGACGTACCCCTTGCGCAGCAGATTCCCACCGCGCTGAAGGCGCAACGTACAATCCGCAGACAGGTGCGCGACGAGATTGACCAGCGCCGACGCCAGCGCACCCTTCGTGGTGAGGACAAGACAATTCGTGCGCAGTCTCCGAATGACCGCAATGAGGCTCTGGCGCGGACAGCCTCCGCCAAGGTCCGTGCAGCCGCGACTGCCATGGCAGAGGGCACGACCACTCGCACGCTCTCGGGCACGACAAGGAGAAGTCCTGAACCCGCTGCAAATCCTGCGGGCCGTCTGCGCACGAAGACGCTCCCGGGTACCTCCAGCAATCCTATCTCTATTGGCGACTTGACCAAGAAGTTACTTGGCGTGCAGGCGGGCGGGGCCCTACCCGCAGCCATGAGCCGATCGCAGCAGCCCTCCTCGAGCGAAGTCAGTGGCAAGCTCAAGCGCGTGTCCTCTACGCGCCCGCCTTCCCGAGATGCCAGCCTCGGTCGGGGGCAGACGCGGGACGTCGAGCGTTCTGGCTCACTGTTCAGGCGACCGTCGCGCGCTGTGCGGGACAACGCTGAGCAGGACGACAGCCGCGGGCGAAGCCTCCGGCCCGCACGGTCGTTTCACCGCCCGAGCACTGCGCCCAGCGACCCTCAGCTCGCGCCCCCGCTCCCAGCTGGCGCGAGCAGCTTGAGCAGGAACCCGACCCTCGCACGGACAGCGCCTCCGCAAGAACCCGTCGCGCTCGGCGCGGGGCCCATGCTCCCGGAGGAACACCGCGCGCTGGAGAGGGCGCGCTCGGTGAAGCCGCACTCACGCCGCCCGAGCGAGGACCGCGAGCGCCCCCGCCTCCCGCCCATCGATCCCGAGAGCATCTCGGCGGCCACGCGATCTCGCGCGCGGAAGCCGTCCGTGACGGACGTGGTCCCGCCACCGCCCGCGCACACAATCGTCTCGCCGTTTGCGCCCCTCCCTACGTCGCCCTTGCCTGCGACGGCAAAAGTGCAGGCGGCGTGGCAGCAACGCATCTTCATCGGCAACATGCAAAAGTATGTCGTCGTGGAGATCGGCGCGTCCACGAGCGCGGGCGAGGTCCTGCAGATCGTGGATGGCCAGGGCGCCCTGGGCGATGGGGCTGGTAGCGGGGGGTGGATGCTCTGGGAGGCTGCCCAGGACTTTGGCATGGGTGAGTAAAGTTCTCGGCGACGGACGTGCGTCTTCTCATGCGTTGTTCACAGAGCGGCCGATCCGGAGCTTCGAGATGCTCTCTGAGGTCTGTAGCTCGTGGAACACCGACAAAATTGTCAACTTGTTGGTGATTAAAAAGACGCTGCTGGCGCCGGTGCTCAGCCGTTCGGTGGGTGACTTGCTATTTTGCGCGCTCCGAAGGCCGGGTCGCTGACTTGTCCTTGTCCGCAGGCCATCCCACGGAGCTCGCCCATTTGCGGAGGATATGTGCAGCACGAGTACAAGCGCGGAAAGTGGCAAAAGCGGTGGATGGAGCTGCGAGAACACAGTCTCTGGCTTTCTAAGCGCGACAGCGTAAGTCCCCTCTGTTTCTCGTGACGCCATTATCTTATGCAGTGCATGTAGGCCAAGGATGGCGTTTTCCTGTGCTCTCTCAGCAATTTTGACGGGTACTACATCACGCGCCCGCACAAGGCACCCAAACCATATGTTTTTGCCGTCAAATCTACTGACAGCTTGTCGTTCTTCGAGAATACGGCTGACTATGTACATGTGTTCTCGTGTACGGAAGGGGAAGGCAAGAATTGGCTGGAGAAAATATTGCTCGCCAGGGTATGTGATTCTAATTGTATGGTCCTAAAATCCCTCTAATGGGCTATTATTTACAGTCCTATGTCCTCTTCCAAGAGCGCAATGTCATATCCTCTGGTGGAGGCCTTGCCCGCGCCACCACGCGCGCTGGTCAGCGTCCCGTCCAACCCCTAGTGAATGTCGCTACGCCCAAGACTGACAATCCCGCTGGGGCACCTGTCGGATTCGAGCCCGGGTCACTGCTGGCAAAGCGACAGGCCGTGTAACATATTTATTAGATTCTTCCTCTCTGTGTCATAGATCATGGTGTATAGGGTCACTCTTTGATGTTAGATATGCATGTCTCAGCGGAGCACATCACTACCACGCTCATTTGTAATACCGTTCTGTAGCGCGATAGCCAGTCGTAGCAATACATTAGTATCAACTAAAATATAAAAACATTGGATTGAAACCATATAGTGACAAGTCGAGTGGCGAAAGACGAATGGGAGAAGGTTAGTCTGCGGATTTCTTTTGTTTCTTCTTCGCTGGTCCCTCCTCTGCATCGTCCTTCTTTTTGGGCCGAGGTTTGGGCCGTGGCTTCGGCCGCTCTTCGTCAACGTCCATGGTGTCGTCGCCTTTCTTGGCCTTGGGCTTTGGCTTTGGTCGAGGGGGAGCGGCTTTCTTAGGCTTTTCATCATCCTCAGCGTCGCTCTCTGGCGCCTTGTCCTTCTCTGGCACCTTGTCCTTCGCAGGCGCCTTTTTCTTTGGGGCTTTTGCCTTGCCCTTCGCAGCCTTGGTGAACTCGCGGTCACCACTGGCATCAGAGGCGGTTTTACCACCTTCGTCCGATGAATCACTGTCCGTTGGGGACCCTTCATCGGATTCTGACGCCTGAAAGTCTTCGTCTGGGGAGGGCGTCAGTACCCAGGAACCACAAGGCTCACATGTCCACTCACCCTCTTCGCTGTCGTCATCCTCGCCGCCCAATCTGGGCTTCGGTACTTCCTCTCCGCTGCTCGCAACGCTCTGCATCTCTTCGTCCTCGTCGTCCGCGGCCAAGATGAGCTCGCCCTCCATCATTTCATTCTTTACCTTAACCTTCTTCTCTTTCAAATACGTCTCCGTGCCCTCATGTTCCTCCTTATTGACCGAAGTGAATGTATACTCTGGCCCGCTCTTTGTGACGATTTTCAAATCGAACGTGCGAGCGGCAGTAGCACCCAGGCCGGCACCCAGACGAGAAAAGACGACCTGGTGAATGTCAGAGAGCTCAATTAAGGTTGGCTGTTTGGACACAAAGAAGATGTATTTCTCGAGCAAGAAGAGGTCACCCTGAACAGCCTTCAAATTAGCCTTGATTCCAGGGTGTCCGTCGTGACTAAGACGACAGTCAGTACCAGGTCGTGTCAGGAAGTTTGGATTTACCTTTGGAAACTGCCTGCGCCAATAATTTTCTTACCCGAGAGCGCTCTGAAGACCCCAGAGACAACCTCGAACGTAGGGTCCTCGTAGTTCTTTTTGAGTCGCTCATATTTGGCAATCTCTTCTCTGTGGTTATCATCAGCATGATACAACGACTCGTTCTGGTGTACGTACTCAGACATATTAAGCTCTGCTGTGATCTCCTCCTCCCGATTGAACTGCATTACCAGGTACTGATATCGAGTTTGACCCTGTCGAATGGGTGTGCTGAGACTGAGCTTTACGAGAAAATTTAGGTCAGCCGTCACATCCCCTTAATCCAGACCGTTTCACCCACTATAAACAAGACGTGCTGGTCGTCCTTTGGTAACAGGAACAGCCTCGAGATGCTGCCATACAAGATTTTGTAATCATATGTCTTTCCGCGTAATCGCAAGAATTCAGGGAACATATCGACGTCGTATCGGCCTCGAGGGGTGAGGACGAGCACTTCCTCGAAGCTCAGAATAACATCGCCTGCAACTTGTCCGATCTCAGCCTTCTCTTTCACAATGTCGTGGAATGCTTGAGCAGCGCTGATCTCCTCTTCGTCGTCTGACTTCTGCGAGCCTGCGTCGGAACCCCGGTCGCGGGTGGCAGTCCCTGGCACGTAAAAGCGGATCTCAACCATCTCATCTGGAGCATTTCGTGCAGCCTTCTTGTTGCCTGATGGCGTAACGAATTCGAGTGAGACTTCAGTCCGTCCGGCGATGTTGGAGTTTGACGCATGGTCGAGTGGAAGTTCGAAAGCCGTCTTGTTAGAGACAAGAAATGCAAGGTCCTGGCCTGCGTTGGCTGTACTTCAGTAATGCATTACTTCAAAAAATCAACCAAACATGCCCTGGAAGTCCGTGACTCCCCAATTCCAACCCTTGAATGAGGTTTCTTTCGTCTCCAGCGTCACACTGAAATGCTGCTTGAGCAGTTGCGCAAGTTTATCATGATCCTGTGGCGATACATTGAAAACATGCAATCCTCTACACCAAGTCTGCTCAAGGGCCTACCTCTCGTGAAAAGCCGTCAAATGTCTCCCTTGATCTATCCTTAAGACCTATTCTCAGTTGATGGTTGCGGGCGACCCTCATCCACTGCGCCCATTTGATGTCCGCAGCAGTCATTGCCATCATATTCTCGCTATCCTCGCCCTTCCATGCCATTCCGCTTGACGCGATACGGAACTCTAGAAAATGACAATCAGTTCTCCGCTTTTCACTTGTGTGAGCATTGGGATTAATTTCGACATACTTCCAACTTCGGGAGAGAGGCCATGGTAGATGTTCTCAAACTGTGTAGTCATAGATGCTCGTTCAGATATGAGAGTCGCGAGAGGAGAAAGAGAAACAACCCAATGGTGGGTAGAAGGTGGACGCGTTTCGGAGTTTGTATAACGCGCTCACCAGTAGTACGCGTCTTTGACGCGCCACACTAATCAATCTTCGACCTTGCGCTCCTCATCTTCAGCGGTGATACTGAACTCGGCCTTCCGACTGGCTCGTGGTATCAACAGACATTGTGAATGGAATCTCTGGAAACGCGCTCCCGCGATGTGCAAGAAAGGACATTTTGCAAATGGTGACTGTTGCTTGCAGGCCTCGCCTTCGCTCAGATTAATTGATCTCTGTAGGCTCAACACGAGACTCGAATCAAACGGATATCCTCCGATGACCTCGCTCGTGAGGGACCTTTCCGATGGTGTCCGACTGATTCAATTGATGGTAAGCGTCTTGCGGGCAGTTGTCCACGGCGGTTCACGATGCGTGCTCGATATTAGGAAATCATGGGTATTACTTGTACCTTGGGCGGCATTCACAATTTGTCTTATGCGTATGGTAAGGTGATACGTCGCTCGGAAGATACAACAGAAATCCGCGCATGCGCATACAGAAGGCTGAAAATGTGAACAAAGCTCTCGAATTCATCTCTTCAAGAGGTGTGAAGCTAACTAATATCGGACCCGAGGGTGTGTTATTTATCCACTTCTATCTATTGATGACTTGAGCAGTCCATCAGACATAATTGACGGGAACCTTAAGCTGATCCTCGGAATGATCTGGACACTCATTCTACGTTTCACGATCGCCGATATAAGGTCAGCGAGTAACTGTTTGTTAATGTATACCTCTCTCTCAATTATATTTCTTTCGAAAGCGAAGAGGGTCTGTCAGCAAAAGAGGGCTTATTGTTATGGTGTCAGCGCAAGACTGCACCTTATAAAGAAGTCAACGTACAAGACTTTTCCCTAAGCTGGTCTGATGGGCTTGCATTGTTCGTGAGCCCTGTTTGTATTCTCCTACTTGCTTAGAATGATTGTCGTGCTTCTAGATGCGCACTCATTCACTGTCATCGTCCTGACTTGATTGATTATGCTACCCTAGACAAAGTAGTCTATTGCTGTACTGTGTCGGCGTGTGGCTACTGATGAAGTTTTTTTTAGACAGATCGTCATGGAAATACCCAACTGGCCTTTGAAGTTGCTGCCCAGCACCTGGGCATACCCGTGAGTCCATTGAACACCGTCAAGGTCAGGTGTTTGGATTGACATCTCGTAGCAACTTCTCGAAGTGGCAGATCTGTGCGACAATGCGCACCCAGACGAACGCAGTGTGATGACGTACATTGCCAGTTTTTTTCATGCTTTCTCTTCGATGGGTATGTGACATAACCCCTTTGCGATATACATGTAAAAATAGTTATGCTGGCTTGGACATTTGTAGACCAGGCAGAGACTGTGTCTCGGCGGGTTGAGAAATTTGCGGAACTCATGCATTCTATTTGGCTTAGCAAAAATGACTATGAACGACGGGTCCGTGAGGTTTGTGAAATCCAGCGCTGGTGCAGATGAAAAATGTTCTGATTCTTCTACGACTCTTCCCAGCTCCTGGCCGCTATGTCCGAGATCCAAACTCGATGGTCTGCAGTCCAATTTACTGGCACATATACGGATGCCAAGGAGCATTCATCCCAATTTGCCACTTATAAGCAGACAACGAAACGTAAGTGGGTCACAGAAAAGCAGGACGTCACGACCCTTTTCGGAAATGTGCAGACAAAGCTCAAAACGTACGGGCTGCAAGAATATGTCCCGCCGCTCGGGCTCGCAATCTCTGTTCGTGCCTGTTTCTCGGTCGCAAATTGTCGCGTTTAATCATTGGGCCCAATCAAGGACTTGGATGCAGCGTGGATTGCACTACTTACTTCCGAAGCTAAACGATCGCGAGCGATAAATGCTGAGATTCGGCAGTGAGTCGTATCTGTAAAGTGTAATTTCAGTCACCAATGTCCGTGCTGCTAGAATCAAAGAATCCCTTCGCAAGAAGTTTGCCAGCCTGGCGAATGACTTCGAGAAGCGGCTAAGAGCTATATCGTCCGAGCTAGCTGGGGTCGAGGGTGCGCTCGAGGTAAGGTCATTTGAGGTTGTAAAAACTTTCTCGGACTGATCGTATGATACATATTTACAGGAGCAACAACGACAAGTAGGACAACTGCGAACACGGATCCCTGCCCTGTCAGATGCTCTTGCTACGGTAGTTAGCGCAGAGGACGAGTGTCGGGCGGCCAATGTGGATGAGAATGATTACACGGTCTTTACCTGCCAGGACCTTGAGTTTGAACTAGAGCTTTTGGAACAAAGTATTTCGAAGAAGATTGCATTTATTGACAACCAGGTCAAATTTTATCTGGGAATCCTGTTTTCGCTATCACTGATGCGATTGGACTAGATTGTATCACGAAACATGACAAACTTAACGCCGGCACAACTCGAACAATTCGAAAGCACGTTCAGATACTTTGACAAAGATGAGACCAACACTCTCAATCTATCTGAGATGGCTGCAGCACTTGCCAGTCTAGGCATAGTGTATTCGGTGCGTACGAGCTGTGCCTTGTATAAGGTTTAAGTTACATAGCCTGGTACAGGACGAGGATATGGATATCATTTATGACCAGCTGCTTCATGATTACGGTGCGGTGACGTTTGAAGCATTTATCAATCTGTTGGTACGTGGGTTATGTCTCCATTATAATGTGATATCCTGAAAGCGGATTTCATCTCAGGTGGAGATCACCGAGGATCAAACCTCTTCTGAGCAGCTGCGTGAGGCTTTCCGAGGAATTGCTAGTGACAAAGTAAGCTCTTTCTACGCAGCTTCTCACCCGCTGATCGCGTCGCGCAGCCATTCGTCACGGAACTTGACCTGCGGGTGGCGCAACTCCCACCAAATGCGATCGAATTTCTGCGGGATGCGATGCCCTCTGCGCAGGACGGCACCGAGGAGCCTCAATATGACTATGAGGCGTGGTTGGATGCAGTGTTCGTGTAGCGTGTATTCCTTAGTTATTGACCATACAATCAATGCAGTATACATGCTGCAATCGGCATAGATTATAGATACGATCGTATTGATCGTATACTTTATCGTAATGAGCGCTTGGGATTAACTTCAGTTTATCATCGATGTTTTTAGCAGTGTGCATGTTATAAGCAGTGTGCAACATAGAAATTGGAATTGACTACTTGGTTTTTGATTCCAGAATGGCCAAAGTGCTGCGTCCGCAGCAATGAACGAGTGAGGTAGAGCGGTGAGCAAGGGGTCGGCCAACTGTGGGCAATCTGAGTGGCAATCGCCGGAGTCGCCCGTATCACGATACTTATACGGTTCACATCTTGTCCTATTCCTCCATACCTCATCTCCCCCGCTAGTTGTTTTCTTTTTCACTTCTCTCCGACACATTAGCATGGTGTGTATTGTGCTCTCAACAATAGATCCATGCCTGATTGCTCAATCGCGCCCATCTCGCGCGTCTGCGGCGTTACAGGCCTCCCAATCCGGCGTCGGCGTGAGCCCTGACTGCCTTTCGGCATACCAGAACCTCAAGCTCGGGAAGAAAATCAAGTACATCGTCTTCACGCTCAACTCGACCAACACGGAGATCATCGTCGAGAAGGAGTCTCAGTCTAACGATTACGACGAATTCCTCAGCAACCTTCCCGAGACAGAGCCCAGATGGGCCGTTTACGATTTTGAGTATGAGAAAGAGGGAGCGGGCAAGAGGAACAAGATCACATTCTTCTCTTGGTCAGTGCTGCAGTCCGATAATGTGTAGCATTTATCGCACGCATCTCCTCGATATATGCTGCGATCATTGACGGTGCTGGGTCGTTGTGCCACAGGTCTCCGGATGACTCTAAGATCAAGCAGAAGATGCTGTTCGCCTCATCGAAGGATGCTCTTCGACGTTCCCTCGTTGGTATCGCTGCTGAAATTCAGGGAACTGATTACAGTGAGGTCGCATATGAGAGTGGTACGTGGTGTGCATGTTATCGCGCGACATCTTTCACTGATCTCTTTCGCCTAAGTGCTGGACAAGGTTTCCCGAGGTGCTTGATCTAAGCTGAAGTAGGCACGCGACGTCGGACATTCTCTATCCTACCAAGATCAGATCTCCCACCGACCGGCTTGTCGTGTGTGGCCGCATGTCGGACGTCCTGCTAATTTCGTTCGCGAACTGAAGAAATGTTGTAGAGCCTCAGATAATTGAATCGAAGGGTGTAGCATCGACTGGAATGAAGCTATTTATAATACTCTTACACCTAACGCCTATCCGATGCTCTTGTGATGAATTTGACTATTGTCGACCTCTCACCACTGAAGTTGTCTGTTATTCAATCGGCTATCGGCTTCGAAGGTTAGACGTGGTTTACATTCCGTGAATGTTAAGCTTTGCGTTGGGCAACATCAATGCACTTTCAGACGTGTGATTCTTGCATTCATCAAACACTCCACGCCGACCTGACAAGGGGAAGCGATATATTCTTGAGCGGCCGGTGAATGTGATATGTTTTGTTTGTCAATTTTGCTGATAGTAACACACGTCCGCAGGAGATAACTCCCGAGCCGACATCCGTGCCGCAATAGCAGACGATTGATGATGCCGGGAACACACTAATGTGTTTGCTTTTAGCTTCCCCAATAGGACCGCAACGCTCAATATCCTAATCACCCGAACTTCTTTGAAAATCTATTCATCTGATGTTAAGTATTACTACGTCCAACGCGCTCTGTCGGGAAGGATTCACCAAGGCACTGACATCTGATTGTCAGCATTTGAATACAGCTCCAAGTTCCATACCCGATCATCGTGATTCCAATTTCCAAAGATCCTCAAGCAGTCGCATCTCTTATATATAGGGGTCATCCAAGGCCGTATTCAAGCGGCCTCAATCGTCTCATAGCAAGCATTCTTATGTCTTCCAACGATAATACCCGCCCGGCTTATGATAGCGTCATACAGTCCATTGCTGACTATGTCTTTGACTACCAAGTCACCTCCGCAAAAGCCTGGAGGCGAGCCCGCGTCGCTCTGCTTGACTCTCTCGGCTGTGCTATTGAGAGCTTGCCGGCTTGTCCTTCTTTCATCGGCCCCGTAGTCAAGGGCACTGTAGTACCGGAGGGGTTCCCACTCCCTGGGACGAAGTATGTCCTTGACCCCCTGAAGGCGTCGTTTGATCTCGGTGCCCTTATACGGTACTTGGACCATAGCGACGCATTTCCTGGTGCAGAATGGGGACACCCATCCGACAACATTGGCGCTATCCTTCCTGTCGCGGATTGGCTGAGCCGTGAAGGAAACGTTAATATCACGATGCGAGACGTGCTGGAAGCGATCATAAAAGCGTACGAAATTCAAGGCTGTTTTCAGGTCGGTCTTACATCTATAGTCTGACTATCGACTTGATCTTAACGAACCACTGTAGTTCAAAAATGCCTTTAACAAAGTGGGCATCGATCATGTTGTTCTCGTCAAAATCGCTGCTTCAGCCGTTGTCTCGAAGCTGATGGGACTGACGCGAGAACAAACCAATGCTGCTATCACCCAGGCATTTGCGGACGGGCAGCCTCTCCGCGTCTATAGACAATCCCCGAACACAAGGTCAGTTGCACGCCAAATTTTATATTCGTCGAGTTGAGTGCCTATATGCGTCTTCGAATAGCCCCCGTAAGGGCTGGGCCGCAGGAGATGCCTGTATGCGCGCTGTACATCTCGTTCTGATGACAAAGTCGGGTCAGCCAGGTTATCCCACTGTCCTCACCGCGCCCAAATGGGGTTTCTACGATACCTCTTTTGATGGCAAGCCGTTTGTGTTTCCCGTCGCGTTTGGCAACACGGTTATCGAGAGCTACTTTATCAAGCTTGTCGCCGCCGAGGGACATGCGATATCCGCTGTGGAAGCCGCACTGTCGCTTTCGAATCAGCTGCGCGGCCGCCTGGACCAAGTCCGAGCAATTCGTATCCGCACGCAGGAGGCTGCGATGACGATCATCGATAAGACAGGCCCATTGCACAACGCCGCGGATCGTGACCACTGTATGCGCTATATGGTCGCGGTGACGCTGCTCAAGGGCGATTGGCTGACGACGAAGGACTACGAGGACGATGCGCCTTGGGCGACAGACCCCCGCGTGGACGCGCTCCGGGCAAAAATGACAATGGAGGAGGACCCGCAGATGACGCTGGACTACCATGCGCGCAAGCAGCGTAAGTGCGCGTCGGCAGTGAGCGTCACAATGGAGGATGGGACCCTCCTCGACGAGGTGCTCGTCGAGCGTCCGATCGGCCATCCATGGAGGGAGGACACCATCGATTGCACGAAGGCTAAGTTTGTTGAGCTGACCGATCATCTCGTTCGTGATCCTGCGGGCTTTTGGGATGAGTGCATGTCTGAGGAGATGGCAGATATTAAGGTGAGGGATTGGATGGATCTCTTTATGGCACGGCAGAAGTTGAATATGTAAGCAGTCGAACTTGTTGGTTTTGTCTATGTTCGATGTCGGAATTAAAAAAAGTTTGTGCGAGAGAACATTTAAATTGCTGAAACCGCTGCGGATAAAACAATATTTCAATAATGAACAGCTACAGCATGTATGCGCCAAAGACGGCGAGACAGCTGTAACACCACCCTGTGACGAGAATCCACCCAAATAATTCGTGTTCTACATCTCGTTCTTTGCCTCCTAAAAACTACCCTCGGGGGCTCAGTATCAGTGTACAGGCTTTATATGAATATCAGGACACATTTGGACATACATTTTACTTGATTGAGATATAAATCGCTCTGTAGCCTTTTAGAGGCGCCGTGCATCCCAAGGTGCATTGGGAGCGAGTCGTTGTAGCGAACTAGGAATATAGACATCTCATTGTGTCAGAAGTATCACAAAAAGAAATGAGCCGTTGCTACCGCTCATTGTTGCGATGCATCTAAGTAGTATCGGGAGAGCAATATGTATGCCAGGCAGATGAAAGAGAATGCAGACGCGGATCTAGAGAAGCACACAGAAGCTAAAGGCGAGAATGGCAAAGGCAAGGTAAATTAGAAACAGTGCCTTGTCTAGTCAGTCCGGCGGCGATCGACGCCTTGTCTACAAGAGGATCAGTGTATATTATGAAGTTCAGTTAGCTTGCTCGCCTTTGTATCTACGAAACGAAGGGCAGAGTCAGTTTGAGCCCGTACCGAGTTTAAGTGATATGACTCATCGAACTATTGACGGCCAGTTGATCGTGAAGTCGATAGCTAGAGTGATTCGATCCGCATTGACATTCTTGTCGCGACATATACTCGTCCTAGTGGTGGAATTAAGCTTACCCGATAGTTTGTCTAATTTAACATTCTCCAATAACGCGTTGGCATGTCCCTCTACGAGGTGCATCGGCGCTCAATCGGTGCCTACGGTACACTATTAAATTTCGTCTGGACTTGCGGGGATATACAGCTTGCCCGAACAGGGACATTCCGGTGATCTTATAACAACCAAGACACGAGGTTTCCGTGTCTCGAAAATGGAACACAAGAGGAAGAAAATTACCCACCCTAGAGGAGTACAGCTGCAGCACAAGTAATACCAGGCTGGAACGATTGTCAACAGTATAGATACCGCGACGATTGTCAGATTCACTTTCAAGCCATTTGCTAGACAGGGCGACCATTCTCATGAGAATTTGAAGGCAATTCGTACCCCGCATGCCGGCGCCTTGTTCACGATATTTTGAGCAATCTGGCTCAGCTCTGGGCCTAATCGTGGAGGTCAGCAGAAATGAGAAAGAGGCGGCACTCAGTGACCGAGCCGTGGTACGTCCGGCCGCGGAGAGTCGGCTTGTCATGCAAACCTTGTTGACGGATTGTTGCGTCAGGAATTTGTCTCATGTGAATGCATGGTATCAGCAGTTGATTTCGGGGAAGCGTTCAGTGCCATGCAGCCTGAGTCTAGGCGGCGGTCTGACGATCGCGTTGAGTCAGCGCTAATTACCCGGGGGGGGGGCACTTCGGGATTCCTTCGGGCACAAAGTGCAAGTTTCTACTCACTCAACGAACCGACTGAACCACGCAACACCCACGGCGGCGGAATGCTCCTCCGAACGTGATTTTAAGAAATTCCCAGGTGCGAATTTATCAGATCATACAGCTTATCCAGCATAAAATTCCGAGATCCAGCGATGTCGTAGACCCGCACCCCTCCGTCCGCGACTCAGATGGCCTGTGTTGACTGTGTGTCCGGCAACGTTCACTCGGGCAGCTCGATAGGCCAGGAGATCACTCTCGCAGGCCTCCCGACATACGCGACCGGTGACCCCGACAGCAAACGTATTATTGTCATCGGAGTGGATATCTTTGGATGGAATTTTATCAATACCCGATTGCTCGCGGACGAATATGCTGCGCGAGGCTTTCGAGTCTATATACCTGACCTCTTTGATGGTCTGTGCTCGCACTAAACATTGTTTCATCCTTATAGTGGCTAAATCATTTTGTACGACAGGCCGTGAACTACCTCAATGGACGCTCTCTGCCGTGGCCGCGGACACGCCCACTCTTCTCCAGCGCATGCTGCGTCCACTATCCCTCTTCGCTTTTGTGCCATTCATTCTTCGCAATAGCAAGACAGCACAGTCAGCCAAGATTGGTACCTTGCTCAAGCAGCTCCGGCAGACGCAGGCAGACGCAAAAATCGGCTTTATTGGCTTTTGCTGGGGTGGCCGCTATGCGATCACCATGAACAGCGATTTTGATGCCACCGTTGCCTGCCATCCGTCACTCGTAAAATATCCCACCGAGCTGGATAATATATCGAAGCCTATTAGCTTTGCATTGGCGGCTGAAGATCCAGCAGGTTTCGGTGCCGTCCGAGGAAAGGAGGCGGAGAAGCTGTTGAAAGACCGCGGTCTCACGGATTTAGAAGTGATCATATACGACGGTGTCCACCACGGTTGGACTGTTCGAGTCAATATGGCGGATGAAAAGAAGAAGCAGGCGCGAGACAAAGCGAAGGAGCAAGCTCTGGCTTGGTTCGAGAAATATCTTACTATTGCTTCACAGTGAACGCGGTTCCTTTGTAACCGATATACCCTGTTGGTAGTGTTTGAATGGTACAGCTCCTTGTATATGAGATTTCAGAGGATGATGGTGATGTCCGGGTTTCAGGGAGGAACGAATACGGGAATCGATTGCATACATTCATTTAGTTTACCGTCATTTGCGCAGCCGTGTCTGCCCAATACTATCTCAAGCAAGCCGAAATAAAACTTGCTGCAGATGACGATACCAAAGATCACAGAATACGGCCGAAAACATATCCAAAAGTCAGAGTATACAACGATTGAAGAGCAATGAGAAAATCAAAGTAAACATTCATTCGTGATTGATCCCAACATTTTATCAAGCTGAAAGAGTCTTGGCTCCTTGCAGAAGAGTATGCTGAACGAGGCTTAGATGTATTTGTTCTTGCCAGCTATACACCTCAGTATGAAGGCATGGTCAAGAATGGCAGCTGCTACAATGAGAGTCTGGGATTGCTTCTGCCGCGGCTGTCAGGCCAAATCTGAGTCTGAAGCAGCTTTAAACAGGCTAGCCATTTTCACATCATCCAGTGAGAATTTGTTACTGTACATCAGCACATCAAGTATCTTCAAAGCACGGAATGACATAAATTAAGGAAAAATACTAGCCCACCGCGAGGGTCGAACTCGCAGCCTTCAGATAACATGACCATGTTCTGAACCCAGGAGCACCTGGTGAACCCGCCGTAAGAGTCTGACGCTCTATCCGATTGAGCTAGGCGGGCCATGGAAAGACTCCGGTAACTATACACTATAGTAACATTATTCACTCCCCGCAAATAACACTCAGGCAATGGATTTCGCCTGGCCCAATGCAACCTGTTTCTTCACAAGCGGGTCATCAACCTCATCAACCAGGCCCCATTTTTCCTGGAGTATCTTGACAAGATCATCTCTCCCTTCAGCAACAAGCTAGAATAGATATTGGTTGTAGAACACTATATTCAAGGCACGATGATCACTTACGATTTCGTGGATGCTGCGATATGCACTATTGAGAGCACCGAGAACCCATCTACGCAGAACCCGTCAAAGATGGTACAGCCGCGAACAGCTGGTACTTACGCATGGTGTACACTTGATGCTTCTCCAGCAAAGTGGAGCAGGCCAGCCGGCGGCTTGGTCAATTCAGGATAAAGATTGCTAAATTGCCCAGGTCCAAACAGAGCGAATGCACCTGTACGCAAGCAAAAGGGTCAACCAGAGCTTGATGCATAACTGGAGAGAGCAGTAACTGACCAGCTGAATTTTCATGGTTGTACCAGCTCCATACCTCATGATCGACCACCATGTCGCGCAGGCTATCAGCGGTGAGATAATGGCCATGTATATCCGCGAGATCCTTCAAAATGACCTCAAGTAGAATCTTCTCCGACTCAGAGTTCTTCCCGTGAGCCAGAGCACCGAATCGCATGGCATCCTGTGCCCAGGTATAGCTGACAATGATAGTAGCGTCCGTCCCGCCCATCCCATAGGACGGATAAATTACTACTCGCGTTGGCCGATCAGTAGAAGAGACCCCGCCCATGTTGTTAAATGGCGGCGCTTCCCACCACCGCTTCGTGAATTTGATGGCAACTTTGACCGAGGCGTCATAATGCAACACCCTGATTGCCGTTTGCACGTCCCAAGATAGGTTGCACTGCGTTGTATCGACAAGCGCGAGACAGGACAGTGGCATGGTCGCGATGACGTGTGAGTATGTGCGGGGAGTCGATTCTCCGGCGACGGTGACGTGCATCGACGTCGGCGGGATGATACTGCCGGGCGATGAAGCGGGGGCAATAGTTGTAACACGCTTCCCGCGGTGAATGCTGTCGTAACGAATGCGGGTCGCCATCCTCTGGGAAATCACTTCCGCTCCACCCCTAGAAAAATGACTTGAGTGGTCGCAACGCGCTCGGGCAAAAATTCTGCTTACTGTACGCAGAACCATTTCTGATCATCATTCCAGTCAAAGTCGAGAGAGTCCATCACGCTTTCGCTGAGGGCGCAGTCGTACAAGTTCGTAGCAGATTCCATTGTTTCCAAATTTGTGATGACCTATTAAACGGCCCTCAGCAAGGACGCTTCCTTACGATTACAGACGAGCGACGCACCTTGTCAGTATAGCACAAATGTTTAGGTGTGTTAAGCTCAAAGTAGATATAATCGCGTGTGGAAAACTCGTCGTAATTCATCATCTTTTCCCATCCGGTGGCGAAATTTGTCTTCAACTCGTCCTTGAAACGACCAAGAGCCGTAGCCAAAATAGTTTCCGGGCGCGCCTTCAGCCCCATGTTAAACGGATCCGGGACCGCAGAGGCAGTTTGATTGTATTGCTCGACAGTCATCCGAATGTTGTTGTAGAAGAGCATATTGTTGGGGTTGGACATGACGTAAGGTATCAGTCTGTCCTGCTTTGGGTCGGAATGGGAAATCTCAAGCAGATCGAATAGGTCAAATACACGCTTCATGAAAGGGATGTCAGGAAAGCGCATAGCACCGCGATCCTATTTAGAAGAGCGACCTCAATATACCATCTACACCTAGTTGATATCTGCACTCACATAGTAATCGTTCTCAGAAGCTGAGAACTTATGGGTCCAGAGCCGACCACCAGTATGCCCGTCATTAGGTTCAGCCTCGAGAATCTCGTAATGATAGCCATATTCCTTGAATGACTCGAGGATCATCGCAGCATACAAACCGGCAGCCCCCGCGCCAATGATCCCAACAGTCACAACTTCATCGCGATTCCTTGGAATAGAGCGCAGAGGAGGAATAGCGCCGAGTGTATTGTGGTGCCGATTTAAGAGAGCTTGTGCATGCTGGCCACGGATAGAAGGCATACTAAGAACTAATCAGTGAGTCACTGAGAGGCGAGAATAGACGAATGCTGGGGGGTAGAGATGAAGGAACTTGCAATCAAGCTTTTATAGCTTTATTACATGTCGACGATGGAGTGCTCCGTGCACGGAGATCGGAGCCCCTGGAAGCACCGTCACTAAATGGCCACTTGTCAAGCACAGCGCGTTCCGAAGTGCCACGGAGTTCCTGCGTATTTTGCGATCGGAAGTGCATTTGCACCGGCGCCGCGCTGGAGCAATGATTCTACACAATGGCCGAACAAAAAGTTAAGTCACTGAATTGGTGCTCTAATCCGTTGTGAAGTACGGGACCCTAGTCATGGGAATGTATTGGCTGGAGTTATGCCGAGGACTGAAATGCTGACCTCCGATATCATATGTGCGGCCATTGATACCGCCGACAAATCACCTTGAACACGATCCTTAACTCATTCACAGCGCACAAAGACGCAAACTAGTACGGAGGCGATACTATCTGACAACTTTCAAGCGTCAAATAGATCAGGGACGAGAAGAACCGAAGTCCCTACTTCATTCGTGCCTTTGGTATGCGTAGAGCGCGCAGCTACACCCGATCGGATGAAGCTTGACTGCTTGGCGCTTCCTGCCCCACTAGAGGATAAGCTAAACTCAAATGAAAGGATCGAATATTGACGGCAGCGGATCTTATAGAAACATTATTTATTGTGTATCCTACAGAGGACGCATTACCAGTCTACAGACAACATGTTTTCAACCCTCAAAAGTGAAGCTGGCTCCGACCTAAGAATACACATGAATCAAAGCATTGAATTCTTTGAAAACAAGCACATACCTTGTGTGCGGCTCCAGACGGAGAGGCGTCGTTCAGCCGTTGAGTGTCGAGAGCAAGACCGAAAGAGGCACGGACACCAGGGCGTAACGCCTGAGTGTAGCCTGCCGGTCGTAGAATGAGAACGCAGTACACAGGCATAAATTTAGAACGTACCGAGAGCGAGGATACCAGAGTTGTTGATCTTCGCCTTCACAAACGCAGACGAGTCGAGGTAACTAAATCAAAGATCCATATAAATTTCTCACCAATCGCTTCTAATGAAGGACTTACGCTTTAGTGCCAACCTCAAGGCTCACACCCGAAGTGGTCGCCTTGGTGTCGTAGACGGCCTTAGCGCCCGCCTCAACATCAGGACTTACACGGTGGTAGTAGCTCGCGGCGAACGTGCTCAAGTTGCCGAGACCGTGGAGGGTGACGGCGTACTCAGGCGCACTGTAGCCAAGGGCTGTCGCATAGCGGGTAACCTTACCCTCTGTCACGTTGTAGGAAGCCTCAGCACCAAGGAGGAAACCGTCCCGGCCAACAACTGTGTCAGCAGTGAAAGTTGGGCCCTGTTACCAAACGGATCAGTAAGACGGTCAATCACGCGAAGATCAGCGCATACCTTGAAAAGGTCGAGGAATGCGCGGCTGTGAAGGCCGGGCTGCTTGTACGTGGTCGTGAAGAGGGCGCTTTTAGAGCCGCTGTCGGGCGTGAGGGCAGTGTTCAGGTCGAACTTGAGACCTTTAGCAATCTGGTTCTCGAGCTCGACCTGGGTACGGAGGATGTTGGAAGTCGTCCAGGCCTGGGTGAAGACGAGGCCGTGCTTCCTGTCGACGTACTTTCCCTCAAGGTCACCGTTGATGAGCGCGGACTTGGAGTCGCGGGTGCCGTTGACCTTGAAGGCGACGTTGGAGGGGGTGTTGGTCTTGACCTCAAGCTGAACCCCGCTTATGGGGAAGTCTCTGCCGAGGAGGTCGTTCGAGGACTTTCCGAGGTCCTGCGCGCGTCCAGACGTGACGTGGTGAGTAAAATAGAGCCAGAGCCTTGCGCGCAGGCAGACAAACCTTCCAGGAGGGGGGAACGGGTTGAGGGAGAGACATTGCGGAGAGGAACTGGTGGTGACGTTGAACGATGGGTAAGGGAAAGTGGACAAATTTATGGCGCGCTGTGTGAGGCTACAAGCTCCGGCACGTTCCGAATGCCAGCACGTTCGTCTGACGTTTGCACCACGGCGCACTCGTCGCGTCCTCTCCCGGCTGCGTGTCCTCGTCAGATCTGATTCTCTGCTGCTACGTGAGCTGGTGACCACTGCGTTATACTCAATGCGGCCTGCATCCCTGAATTTAACTCATCTCAGGACCTACACTCCCTCCAGACGCCCTATGACGCAAATTCCCCTGGGTGCGAGCGCCTTGAATTCGTTTGCTACACCCGCGTCCCTGTGCGGACGGCAGACGTGTTCTCAGTGTAATGCCTCGTGGGGCGACCCGGAAATGCCGCTATTTCACGCACTCCTTTCAGTTATTTGACCCTCCCTATCCAGCCCGGTGAGCAGCGGCGGGTTGTTCATCCCTGTGGATGACATAAGCCTGCTTCCATGGTTTTGCGAAGTCCCTCGTTGCGACGGAACTTGGTTAGATCGATATCCGCCCTTTCACGGTTCTCCCCTCGTACTGCTGCCACCATGGTCAAGTATATTTCCCCCGATGTGAGTTTGAATAGCCTTCTCGTGATAGAGAGACAGTCTTGAGCCGCATCCCAGGAGTTGGCCGCTATCATGAGAAGCGACAAAGTGCCGATGAAAGATTACTGCATTGTAGATGTGCGGGACGACGACTGGCACGGTGGAAACATCAAAGGTTCACATAACTCGCCATCGAATGGGTTCTTGGTGAAGGTCAATGAGCTCGTTGCGAAAACGAAAGATGTCCCCACAGTCGTCTTCCATTGTGCTCTCTCTCAAGTTCGGTATGCACAAACCCATCCTCTCACTCTGACATGGCTGCTCATGGAAAATTTATCAGGGGTCCCCAAGCCGCTAGGGTAAGTTTATCCTGAGCGTACTTGAATCATCCGCGATCGTTAATGCGCGTTCGCAGATCTATGCGGAGACACGTGATGCTCAGGAACGAGGCCAAAATCCTGGTCCAGGATACGAAGTCCTGGTTCTGCAGGGCGGGTTCCAGGACTTCCAGGCAAAGTTTAGAAACGATTCTCAGCTTGTTGAAAATTGGAAACATGAGGTCTGGGGATACCACTTTTGACGTACGTTCAAGTTGCAAAGTGGAGCAAAGAGGTACTTTACTGTTGTGTGGCTAATCTGTCAGTGTATCTGTTTTGACACTAGATAGAATACACCCAAATGCAAGAAGTTGCCCCAATGTATGTAGAATGCTTGCATTGTAATATATTCAGGATGCAGATGTATTTGTATCTGACTGCGAAGTCGGATCATCTTGCTTCTTGGCAAATCGTTTTGGAATTTGCTCTACGACTTGCTGAATCCGTCGACGCTCTTCATCCCTTGACCTACGGCAATTTACCCTGAAAATTACGAGTTATGATAATCTCGCATTTTGCCTATGCGACACAAATAGAGCATACCATGTGCCCAATGAGATGAGCATGAACGTGCCCACTGCCCAGTTGGACGCGACGAAAGGACCTTCAGACAATTATTCAACAAACTCTCCTTGACCACGAAAACCACAAAACACAAGCAAGACGCACCAGCACTCAGTCCGCGAATGACCCCTACACCAGCACCGCTCGCAATGCCACTGAGAAGGCTACTCCGTGCACAGGGGATCTCGCCAATCTTTTGCAAGTCATCCCAGAATGATATTCTCTGCCTTGTGTGCAACGTGCAGAAAGTCCGGTGAGTAAGTTTCAAGCAGGTGAGGCGGAGCACACCTCACCTTCACAGCCTCCTTGACATCTGTCCAGTAGTCTCCTGTGGAATTGGTTTGGAAAACAACTTTCTTGGGAGATGAGGAGGGGGACTCAGATGGAGAGTCGGTCATTTGGACGGACAGAGCGTCGCTGAAGCTAGCTGGCGCACTGTAACTTACACTGTAAGTCCCGATGGCTGAACTCGGGACACGTGATCACGTGCAGAGCGGATCTATTGGCGCGTCAAAGTTCGTTCGGGCGCTTCTTCGATTTAGACACGACTGTCGACAGACGTAGCGGCGTGCACCACTCAAGTTCGTACGAATAACATCTTCATAGCCCGAATCTCATTTACGCTTGGGTCAAAACGCGCTATTGAATCAACCCGCCGAGTGCTTGTTAACTCTCTTCAGTGTCTCTAGAATGTACTCTTCTATTCAGCGCACTGCTGCGCTGTGTCGCAATTTGCAGACGGCGCATGGTATGGAACTAATAATGAATAGCTCAAAGATTGCCCTTGTGAACTGGAGCCTGCGTCATATTTCTGTCCTAGTCACATATCCATCGGCACATTACCGAGGCGGTACGCTACCGATACCTCAGGAAAACTATAGCTACTAAGTCGCGACAAGCTAAAATGAAATCTGACGGGTCAGAAAGAAGGCCAGTAATGGTAAACCGGAGCCATGAAATCGAAAAGGGTCAGTAGGCGGGAGTCAGCTCATACGATATCCTGATCTGATGCTTCTGGGATGGCTGCAGGCGGCTTTCCGCGTTCCGCATTCCTTGCCCGCTCGTGGTGGATTCGTGCGATTTTGCTCCTATGGAGAGGATGGTTGTGAGTGTCTGCTTTGTTGCGTAATGGGGGAGTTGCGTACGGTCTGTTCAGCGGGCTCTCTCCGCCGACGTAGATGAAGATGTCATATACCAAGGCCGCAACTGCACAGGAAGTAAGGTGTGTTCATTCCTCATGCGTAGAAAGCGACTCACTCAGACCGCCGACAATGGGTGCAATAACTGGACACCATAACCAGTATTGGCTGCGTCAAGTGAGCAATTGAATCATCGGGGGGAAGAGAAACTCTACGTACTGTCGAAAGGTGAACACTAGCAATTGCTCATGTCAGTAGCTTTTCTCACAAAAAGTCACCGGGAAGGAACACGAACCTGCTTTGCCGTATCCCACCATCGCGGTCAATAGTCTGGGACCGAGGTCACGAGCTGGATTAATGGCATATCCTGCAACCATGGGTTTGGTTAAGTTTTGCAATGCTGGAGTACAAAAACTAACCTGTTTGCATGCCCAACGCAGCACCGATACCGAGGATGGTAATGAATAATGCTAGAGGAACCAGGCCGGGTGGTGGTGGACCATTATTTCTATCATTTAGGGCACACACGACCATGACCAGGGCAAATGTGCCGACAAACTGCCGCCCGATGTGATCAGCCAACAAGTCCCAGGCAGCTAATGGGCGGCGACTACTTGCCTCGTCCCAGAAGCATGATACAGATGTCATGTAGTCCAGCTGGAACCGAGAGTGTCAGTTTGGTCTCGTCCTGTGTGGAACCAAATGCTAATGGATCCAGCACGAACTTACCGCGTAGGTCGAGAACAGACTCGCCGTGCCCGGTACGGTCCGAATGTGCCGACCCCCCTCGACGATATCGATGGCGTGGATGTAGTTGGCGTAAATGATGCCAGCGCCGCAGACACCGCCCATAATCTGTGCAAAGATGTATATGGGCACTTTGCGCCATGGGAAACCGCGAAACGCGGCTAACGCGATCGTCACAGCGGGGTTGATGTGCCCTCCGGAGATGCCACTAGATACCCACACGCCAAGCGCGGTGCCTGTGAACGTACCAGCAAAAGGTGAGTGTGGGTTCAGCTCAGTGCACGTAGATGTGACTGTTGGTGGGAAATGCTGACGCACCGACGGCCCATCCGAAGCTGATCGAGAGATAGTCCTGGAGCGAAGTCTATCAATACACCTCGATGACTAGAACGCAGCGGAGATGGGCGTACACCCTTGGGAGTTGGAGCGACATTAGTATTGGCGGAGAGGACGACTTGGCAATCGACGCCGGTACCGAAGAAGATGAGGATCATGACGCCAAAGAACTCGGCGGCAGGTTCACGGAGGAGCTCCCTGGTTGGGATGAGCATGGGGTATTGACAGACAGACGTGGACTCACCGGACCCGGGACCACTTATTTGGGTATCTTGTGTAGTGTACGAGTAAGTCGTCAACAGTCGTTGATCCGGATGCGGTTTCGTTCAACATCGGGTTTTCGACGTGCTCGGTCGAGGCTTTGTCGTTCCAGAACTTGAAGCTGAGGCGACGGTGGTGAGGTGCAGTGGGGGCTGCGATCTTTGTCTCGGACATTATGGGCGTGAAGGGTCGTGGGTCGAGACTGTCGTCAGAAGCGAAGGTATGGAAAGGTCCGGTCAAAGGCCGAGGGGCTCAGCGGGGACTGGGTCGTTTATAGAGGGCAGAGCCGTCTGGGCGCAAGGCAGCTCCATGGCCGGGCGAGGTGGAGGCGATATAAAAGAATCGGCCGCTGGTCAGATAGGTCCGGCGTCTGTGCTGGCCCCATGATGGTTCTTGCAAGAGGCCCTGACTTGCTCTCCTGCGCGATCGTGTTCTGGGTTTGCCCTGGCCCGCACGATCAAGCGCAAGCTTGTCCGCCTAATAGGCGCATCTTGATCGCCTGCCGCGCGGGTGCGGGCACACGTGGACTCCGCCCTCGCCGCGTTCGTACGTCCCCAGTACGTCTCCTCGCTTCATCCATCCTCATGTTCATTTCGGCATATCTTCCGTGGTGGCGAAGACGTGGAACGTGTATCAGAAAAAAACACCAGAACACATCGAGCATACCGTCACCAGCCATCTGACGTACGGATGATATAAATATTCGCCTAATATGGATCAGACGAGACGCCGCCACCGTCGAGACACGGCTTCCCGCTAGGGATCTTGTCTAGCACGCTGTCCCATTCTTCCAGCTATCTTCCTGCATATGTGCTTACCCCCCGGGTGTGATGCCGCACCCCGCTCCCGTACCCCCCAACCCCACACTCGAATTCATTGACCCGTAGGCCATCTGACCGCTGCGTGATCGAAATGCGGGATCAAGCCAGTCGATCAGAGTCTTGCAAAAACATCTTCACGCTGCCGTCCGCTCGATCAGTGCGTTCTTGTCTACGCCGAGCCGCCATCTCGCCCTCAACGACGCTGCCGAACCTCCCGCAGACGGCGCCTCAACGCACGAGACCGACTACGGACTGCTAGCGCGAAATCGACCACAATACTGACCAGACCCCTGACGGTGGGCGTCCCGGACCCTCCATTCCAAATGATAACTGTGCCGAGACAGTTTCCTCAGCCGCATCATCTTGTTATCGTCATAGCACGGTAATTCCATCGACAAGCTCGGCCAACAAGCACGCGTCAAGCTCCAACGCGTGGTGTAAGTTGATCCTCAAAGTGAGGCTGGACCTGCTTGTAAGCTTTCTCGAAGCGGCTGAGGTCTCCAATATGCTCCTCCAACTCAAATGCACAGCAGACGGCAGTCTGCACCAGCCCCTTCATTCCCGTCTTGCGCTAGCAGTTGGCCGGCTGTGATCCATGACGTTCAAGTCCATTTCTGATCAGCCGAAAAATGCCAGCTGGTCACCTGGGATAGCGACGGCTCTCCGAGAGCTGTTTGCAGCGTACTCCTGTTTGCAGTCAGGCGTCCAGCTGCCAAGGTCGGCAAGAGGGCTGTGCCGGGTATCTCGGTGCCGGCTTTCGGAAAATGTGGATGTAATCATGCTGTAGAAAACCTCTGACAAGGCAGGGCGATTCCGCATTGTCGGAGTCTTGTTCCTAGCATGCTCGAGTTGAAATACCAAGTGTATGAAGGATGTTGTTGCCATTCGTACGCGCCCAGTATTCAGACCGTGGTACGGGCGGGAAATGCCATTCTGAATGATCAAGATAGTAGATCTAATCAATCTTTGATATTGCCGCCGTCCCAGATTCCGCTGCTCGGACCTCAAGCTCAAGGCGGAGGCGCTGAAGCGAGTCGGACTTTACTTTCGTACCTAGCTGTCTACATTTTGCCCTCTAGATCAGCGCATTATTGTCCCTTCATCCGCCTTGTGTCCGTTTATGACATCTCACAACAGGAGTCTGGACAGATTTTGCCTTCTCTATCACGTACTACTCAACGATTCATATGAACTTGAAGGCAAATTTGGTTTCAGTCGACGCAGGCGGGCAGCACGCGCAGAGAAGTACCGGAATTCACCAATGAAATCCACGCGATTACTTGTCATGGTCCGCATCGCGGAACATTCCCCGAAGCGTCCCCCTACAACCATATCGATATTTCGTAAGACGATTTCAAACGGTAGCTTCGAATTTTGCTCACCTGGGCTATCAGTTCCTGCCACTAATAGATCCTGTGGCGTTCTCTATACCGAACGAGTTAATTCCGCCTTTATTGAATTGGCAAATACCGGAACAAGACAAGACAACTTCGACTCATCTAGACATGAAAGAACGGAAGACTGAAACTGAATATGGAGCTTTGAGTCTTTGGCCACATGCCAATCTGGAATGGCGGTTTGCAAATTTATCTCGGGGTCTTGTTCATAGCCAACACAGAGCTGAGAGCGGATCCGGTGGCCGTGAAGGTCTTTGAACTACTGTCATCTCTGCCCAGCGGTGTTTGGCCTATTTGGAAAAGAGCGGAATGGAGAAATCTAAGGGCTATGGGTCGAGGTTGTTCGAGGTTTCAATTGTGTTATCGATCACGCAGTTCTTTCCTACTCTTCAAAGCTGCATTTCAACCATCGAAATGATTGAATATACAACGCACTACGCATCGAACAACCCATATCAACCTACAGTTTCAGGCTTGGAGACGTTGTTGTACTAGAGTGGTGCCTCAGCGTATATAGGGTACATTTGGTTATGATACTGACGTGTTCAATTCGCTAGGTGGTCATGGATACGTATGTGACTGACTAGTATTACCGGCCGCGGCGCTGTTGCCGACGACATTGTCGCAACCCTGTTGTTGACGTATTCTGACTCCTACTATAAAAACGGGACTATCATGCTTGGTTCTCGAAATGAGAAGTACGGCTAATGAGAAGCGCACTTACGTAGCAACCCACGTCAATTTTACACAATGCTTAGATGACAAGATGAGCGGCAAGGCCTTGTTGTTGTGTACTCCTCTAATACGCTAGCAACTACCGACAATTGAGACGAGTTGTCCGGCTTATCCTGTCGGCCTGCGCGACGGATGACGTGTTGATCCATTCGATGGCGAACACGCCGCTTCAGGTGTTCCATTCTGATTGTCAATCAGGTAGCAATGCGCACCAACACTCGTTAGCCTACGGATTAGTACATCTGCGAACCGTTGGCCGCAGGGCCCGACACACGGTGAGGGCGCTCATCGCTTATGCTTATTTTTTTGATCGGCGTCCAAGATTTTCAGAGTTCAAGTCGGTGGCCTCGTGTCCTGCGACATAATGTGCAGGGCAAGTTCGATATTCTCGATAGATCTTGACACATGGGATTTACTCATAAAGCTGCGAGGCTGCATCTGGCGAGCTTGGGTACCTCAGGCGGTATGTTTGCTCATTGGCCCGGCAAACACTTTTTGAATGGGTTCGAAATTGGACCCTTTACGGAAAGCATTTTTTTGGTGGCGTTCTCCCTTCTGATAACCTGATGTCATGGCCTTCGGGTCGTACATTGAGGTTTGTCATCTTTCGGTCACAATTTGGTTATCATCATCACTAAAGTGCGATACCTCTGCCCATCCTTATTTTGTATAGTTCCACTGTCACCTCCCGCTTGTATTTACGCCGCAAGTGACTGTGATGTCCGTGCAGCGTGGAACTGAAAGCCGGAACTCACACTATGGGATAGCAAAAACAATTGATTGTTGTGGGTGTTGATGTGACTCGGGCCCGAGAAGGTGTTTTTGCTGGGTGCGGCCGTAGGTGTGGCTAGTCTAGTCTCGTTCCCAGTCGTTCAGTGCCTCTCAGCGCTCGTCCTCAGTGTATTCTTATTCTCTAGTACAACTATGTGCATTACAAAATTGCTTTCTCTCCAAGCAAAGCTAAATCCACTACCAGCTGAAGCACTTAAAGCCGTCTTCTAGTACCTAAAAAACCTATTGCTTTCTCTAATACGCCACCAAAACTGATGACTCAACAATTGAAATCTGTGGCAACTGGTGCGCGAAAGAACAGTAAAATCCTCGAGCATTTGCTCCAGGCTAGAGAGTTGAATGTGGTTTCCAGGCTGTACAATGTCAGGAGCTGGAGGACATATCGCACCCTCTTGCCATTGCTCTGCATCGCATTGAAAATCCTCTAATCGCCAGTGGTGACGATGAAGGCGGCTATATTTTTTTTGTAAAACTCATCTCATTAAAGAGTACCGTACTGCAGAACACCTGCGTGTACTGTAAATACAACTGCGCCGTTGCTGAAACAGACATATCAGCAATAACGTTAACTACACCATTGGCGCGAAGTATTTCAACATCGCGCCTGGGAAATTTAGGACGGCAGGATGGTGCTGATGTTCAGAACAATCGGGAGAGAACTCGGCAGAACACATTTGGCTTGTCAGAGTAGTATAGTGCTGGGGGAAAACTGCGCCGACTCGGATTGAAATGTAGTCTCATACCAGAATCCTCCACGTACTGTACGTAAATGTCATCTCAAGAATATCAGGGCTATAGGCCCGGGTTTCCTGACGTTTCTGGGCGCTGCTCATTATGAATCACGTGTGAGCGCCTGATTACCGACTTCGAGTTAGGTCCCCCGATTGGGATCACTCACCTCTCTATCCATTCACCCGTCCACATATCGCTGCCGGTCATGTTTGACAAGATCAAGAAGGGCGCGCAGAAAGCGGGCCAACAGGCTTCTGTCTTTGTGAAAGAGGGCTCGAGCAAGATCGCGTCGGAGTCACAAAGCTTTGTGCAAGGTTTCAGTCTCCCGGGCGAAGCTGAGAAAGCGGCCAAGATTCTGGCGAGCTTCCTTGGTGAGCTGCATTGTGGAGCACTGGGATACTCAGAAAGTTGAACAGCAGTCACAGCGGATCCAGAACACCCCGAATCTGCTCTGAATTCTATCCCTAAACTCGTCCTCCAGCGTGCGCGAGGTAAACGATATCATGTAGCTTAGCCTCGGCTACTCACTTTCTGTATCTTTCCTCCGATAGGTCTCGCCGTATTCTCTGTGCTCAAGGCTGGATTCATGTTCTCCGGCAAGGCCGGTTCGGGACTCGTCATTGCACGGCTCCCAGACGGCTCCTGGTCCGCGCCATCGTGCATTGCCACTGGCGGTGTGGGCTGGGGACTCCAGATCGGTGCAGATATCACCGACTTCGTCGTAGTGCTCAATAGCGAGGACGCTGTCCGTGCATTCTCAATGGGCGGAAACGTCACCATTGGCGGTAACATCAGCGCCACGGCTGGTCCGATTGGTACCGGTGCAGCACTGCAGTCCGCCGTAGCACATCCTGCGCCCATGTTCTCATATTCCAAGTCGAAGGGTACGTTTTTGTATCCAATTTATGTCCACGCCGTGATCTGATGGTCTCCATGAATTTCGATTGACATATGATCATAGGTCTGTTCGCTGGGCTCTCGCTGGAGGGCACTGTCTTGATTGAACGTAAGGACGCCAACAAGGACTTTTACGGCTCTTCAATTCCGGCTGCGGATATCCTCGGTGGCCGCGTGCCTCCCCCAGAGGTAGCCTCCAGGCTGTACGAAGTAATCGAAGCCGCGGAGGGTGTTGATGAGAGCGGCTTGCCGGAGAACGCATACGTCCCCACGGCGAATGGTGGTCACATGGATGTTCGAAGTGGTGGAACCGTCTTCGATGCCGAGGGACCTTGAGCTCAAGCATGTCTTGAATGTTCTGATACTGACCCATTTGGAAGGTCGTGTATGATATGATGCTCCTGAATCGTTGCTTTGCATACTCATTCACCTCAGATCTTAGTACGATGTGCACTTGTCTCGCCTGTATGTTACGATAGCCTGCATGCATGTAATGGTGAATTGGTAATGACGTCTGGAATTAGGATGGGACAGGTGCATTAAGTATAGTCCATAAAATCTAAAGTCAAACGTAAACGTGGATGGCATCTAGATAACACTCCGACATTCCCAAGATCGACAATCTGCGTGTGCATCCGAGTGCACAATATCAGAGTATCTGAAGTTAGAAATATTGGTCCCAGAATCCCTTCGTCCCATTCGTGGGTGCTGCATGCTCTTCTATTCCGAGCAGCTTTAGCATGAGATTGTAAATGTTTACGTTCTCGAAAGTATCCATTACGTAGGTGTCATCCGATGTGGAATGCCAACCTTTATTGGGTCGTGACAGAAAACGTGGGAGGATATGCGACTTAGAATTGTATTGCTCGATTGCCTTGACCGCGGCTGAGAAGGGGCCGTGCGCGACGAACATAGCGTGCATAGATGGCTCGTCATTGTCGTATCCGTGATTCTATTCGCATGACAGATTCAGTCAAACAGGGCGAGAATGGGAAAGGTTACAAATTACTCACGCCCTTGCTCATACCGGTGCCATTCTCAACTCTATTCGTGAGACAATATCCCATCTGTGGAACTACATAAATGGGGGCAATCCGGTCATTGTGCGCGAAGTGCCAACGACGGGGCATCGTATCATGGGTATACACGTCAAACTTCCCTCCGCTCGCCTTGGCTGCCTTGGAAAGTACATTGAGGTAGGATTGTGAGTCGGAGTTGGGGAAGAAACGCAGTCCCATAGATGGCCAGCCTACAATATTTTGATAAGTGATATGGTAGCGCGGACGAAGTTTGAGGTATAGTCACCGTCTTCATGTTCAATCGCCTGGAATCCGTCACCTAATATGTCGTCTACGTAGATCAATTCCGGGCTGCTAGTGTCTGTCATGCCGTGATCGCTCACGAACACGATATCAACAATGTCAGTGAGATTGCGCGCCTCGAGGCCGTCGTGCAAGTCTCTAGCGAAGACATCTACTTGGTGGAGAACTTTCTGTTTCGCAAAAATCAAACAAATCAGTACATAATACTGTGGTGGAATCAAGCCACGATATATACTGACATTGACTAATTCTGATGCTGGACCAGCCAAGTGACCCGCCTGGTCCAGAGACGGTTCATATGCTGTGCAATAGCAAGCTCAGCCTGTTGTCCATGGCCACAAGCACCAGGCTCACCCATTATCAACTGGGGTCTCTCTTCGAGAGGAAGGTCAATCCATGTCATGATTTGATCTAATTTCTCTTGTAGTGGAACTTGATCCTATACCGCACTAAGCTGGACGCAGCGATTAAGTGGGTCTAAAAAATAACATACCCTCCACGGTATGAAGTATGTTGAAGATGCACCCGACGTTGTCGTTGGCGGTCCTGGCCTTATACAACAATTACACATCGTTGCAATCAGTATTAAAGATGGTGATACGTACCACATAAGGTTAGCCGTAATAATACCCGCGCGTTCTGTAGTCTCCCACATCTATCGAATTATAGTGAGCTTAATGTCAATGCAGCACCTACGTGGATACGGACCGGTTCGCCCAACCACCACGAAGACACCCACGCCGACTCGACACGATTGTAATGGAATTCCAAACCTGTATCTGGATCCCAGAAGTTCTGTCATACAAAGCACAAACTCAGCCATGGAAGCATAAAATAATGCATTTATCCATACGTTTGCAACAATTCCGTGAGATTCGGCATACAGTCCAGTCCTGGGATACATAAGCCCGAAACCCGAGATCGTATGAAGAATGGACGTACATTAAAGCCCAGTGGTTTCTAGATGGTACACCGTGAATAACTGATTGAAATCTCATGGGAAGTGATACTTACGGAAATGTCAAAGTCTACAAAATGAAGAGTATACATTTAGCACCTTTGACATCTAAATGTAGCACACACTTACAGGGAAGATAGGCTTCATGGACTTAGCGCGAAGTCCCTTCTTGCTAATATTAAGTAAATGTGGGGTTAATCCTCGGTCAAGGTAATCGGCACTTAGTTGCATCATTAGAGAGTAGGAACAATGTTGTTAGTGGGATGAGCGTACCGTAGACCGTCAATAGATACAATAAGCGCTGTCTTTCTGAAGTCATGAGTACCATTACTCCGCAGTAGTCTATGGTTGAAATCAGGCTTTGGACGAGACGACGGCCGGAGCAGACATATAAGAGGTCGACCAAAAAGATAACCCAGAATTAAGACAATGAAAGCGAGAGCACAGCTTATCGTTGCCTTCCGAGACCAAAATCGTCTAGGTAAGTCTGAATCATCGCTGGTGTCCTTAGGACCGTCAGACAGAAGCCCTCTGCGTTCCTCTTCTACATTGGTTCCGAGCTCCTCTTCCTGAAGAGACCGCCGCCGGTACTCCTGGGATGCGTCCTTTGCGGGCTGATGATCCTTCATGTCGATTGTGAGTGCGGCTCCTAGAAGACAGAACGCAAGCCAGGGAGCCTACCAAGCTGGCTCGAAGAGAGGGTAGTAGCCGGACAGCTGAGGTGTATTGCTTCGGGTAGAGTGCTATTACGTAATTAATTCACCCAAGTCACTATTGCAAGTTCCAACTGCCAGACTTACTTCCGCCGTCCTGGATCTGCCTTCGAGCGCTCTCGGGAAAGAATCTCACTGCTTTGATCCACCGGTCCTGCAGTTCTAATATTCGAATGCGGCTCCTATGGCTCCTAATGTCCAATATTACTGCCCGTGTTTAGCAGCTTCACCACACCCTCCGCCGCCGCATTTGCCATCATCTTCCTATAGTTTCCATCCGCTTCACAACCTCTTCTTTTGCGAGGAATGTGATGCCGTTCGGTGCAATCGCTGTGTCATGGTTGAAGTGAGTGGGTACTATTGCCCGAATTGTCTTTTCGAAGTGCCCAGTGCAAGTGTTCGCGCGGAAAAGAATAGGTAGGCGTGGAGTCCCTTACATGCTTTATCATACCTTATAATAGTTAAGATGCGCGAGAAACTGCTTTCATTGCCCCAACTGCCGCAATACCCTTACAGTGGTACCGTCAGATCCACCAGCCGACACGGACAGCCGGATGTCGCCCGTCGTGTCAACCTCCCTCGGTGAACCGCCGTTTTTTCTGTACTGCAATCATTGTAGATGGGACTCTGCGGAAGTGGGTATTACTTTTGAGAAGCCTACTGGTCTTGCTGGTACGCTCTCTCATCGCACAAATTCTTGAATCAGACACCCACGCCATTCAGCACAACTTCAGAAATTTGAAGACTCTGCGCCAGAATCGCTCGAGTTTGAGCGGCTGAAAGAACATTTTGAGCCCTTCCTACGTGCATCCTCCTCCTCTTCCGCGCTGCCAACGACGTCCTCACACCACCACACCAATCCTATCACAGCTGCCGCCTCGTCCGCTCTAGCGCGGGATATCCCCGGTGTCAGCAAGTACAATCCACTATCGCGTAGCCGCGTCGGACGCGACAAGAGCGGGCGCCACGATATTCCAGAGTACAAGGCGCGCGTCGATATCAGTGCCGCAGGAGGACTAGGTTCGGGTGGTGGTGAGGCTAATGCGGAGTTTCTGCGTCACTTAGAAACCGTAGAAGAGGTGGCTTCTCTAGAGCAACGCTGGGTAGGAAGCTGGGTCTCATCTTTGCATACTAGGTGAGTCTTACTCTTCCCTACACTCTGTCTGCTAGAAGACTACCTGCTGCTATCAGCGACCTCAAGTCTATGCGGATCCCACTGCAGTCGAAGAAATCTAAGCGATGTCCAAGCTGCCGACACATTCTCATCAAGCCGGAACAGAAGGCGCAGTCGGTGAGGTATAAGATTAAGCTTGTTGCCGCGAATTATTTGCCCGCTATATCGGTGTCGCTACCTCACGTGCAAGCTGCAATGGAAATGATGAAGCGATCAACTGCTTTGAACAAATCCACGGCCACTACCATGACCATGGATGAGCAAAGCGTCGCTGCAGGAGCGCTGATTGCAGGCAAAACGTATTCGTTTCATTTAGCGTTCACCAATCCGCTATATGACCCGATTCAGGTGCGTCTAAAGAAGGCACAGGTGATGCCTACACTGGGAACAGACTCGGATGCAGAGAAAGCGCGACGGCCAGCATTTCAGGTCAATTTGCCGAGTACGGCGTTCCCCATCGCCGCATTTGCGGAAGCATGGGAGTACGAGGACGATGATGAGGACATGTTTGGGTTAGACGACGATGAAATGGGCGCTGATGGGTTGGGTCGACACCAGAGGGACGGCAGAGGCAAGATGCGAACTGTTGGCGTGCTTGAGAAGCGGGCGAATGTGACCGTGGTCGGTGGAGAAGTGATTCTGACAAAAGAGGCGCGAGGGAGCGTTAAGGTGATTGTAACATCTTCTCTGTTTCGAGCCAACAACTCAGCCACATGGACCTTCGGATTTACAGTTCAACATGTTAGTCTCGTACACATATCGCTCGGATGACCCGGAGCCGGCGGAGGCAGAGCTTGGGACACCATCACGAACTCATCGACAGCCAGAGATGAAGAATTTTTCGTTCTATACCGTTGTCGATCTCGGGCGGATCGCACCGCGAGAGGAGTCTCGAGCTGATTCGGAGATTTGAGAGAGGTTGCGGCCGACCTTGGTACATCTACAGTTGATTATTGCATCACCCTGGCGTACATGGCTTTGTATTTGAATGTACCGGTAAACTAGATTGCAGCGATCGTCCTTGGTCCCCTAGCCGACCCAGCCCAAAAGTCAAGAGACGGTTATGTAGTTGGTGCTTGTCTAGCAAACTGGACAGAGGTCGTCTTGGAGGTCACGGGGGGAGGACGGCACCTGTATCGAATTTGATGCACGACTGCGAGAACGCGCTCCATCCAGCCACAAGCGCGTCGAGGACCAATGAGGAGACTAGATTGCGGATGTCGATCAGTGATTCGCTATGGCTACAAGCTAGAACAGGATTGGCTGAAGGGCACCAGCGGGTGTACCCGCCTTGATTAATTGATTCGTTGTAGCCCTGTATCGCCTCCAGGCTCTTTCCCCTTTCTCTCTGATACTCGCCTCGTATCATCCTCACATGTCGCTTGGCCACCTTTGCCAGGCGCAAGCTTGAAGCCTCACGTTCATTTACTACAAGTCACATCACAGACAGTCGTCAACCATTGATCCTACGCTGGACGGAATAGCCCATCATGGCAACGACTTTATCCCCAGAGGAAGAACGGCCGCAGGCAGGCCCGCTGCCGTCTAAGAGAGGAGAAATCGGCTTTCGCGAAGATTTACAATGTCAAGCGGAGAGCAGCCAAGCTAGCAGTGCAAGTACTATCAGTGTCACTATCCCGGCGCGACATCCAGCAGACACTCCTCTTCCTCCTCTCCCTACCTCTTCACCTCTCACTGCGAGTCCCACAACAAGCACCGCCCTCAATCCTTCTGATGCCCCTACTTCTAGCGATGCAGAGAGGTCACCACGCCCAACCTCTCCTTCAACTGCGTCCCTGAATTCCACCAACAAACTTACCTCGTTCTTCAATGGCAAACATATACCTATCATCTGGGGCCTTCGTATTACTACCCTCTCCGTCTTTTTTCTCCAGGCAGCCATCCTCGGCGGTACCATTGCTGGATGGGTTGTCCTTATTAACCACCTACAGGCCACCGCATCCGCAACCCAGGGTATGAACCAGAGCCAAAATAACGGGCTCACAATGGACTCCGCGCTCATATTTGTCTATGTTGCCTTCGGTATCACCACACTCGTGCAGATCGTCTTTCTAGAGCGGTGCATCTTCCGCCTGCGTGCGGAACGCTGGGCATATATTCATCCGGGCGAGGTCCTCCCAACGCGGAGGGGCGGACGCGGATTCGGTAATTCCCCACGACATCCTACCATAGCATTTGTACCCTGGAACCGTCCGCCGCTCCCCACATATGCGGCAGCGCTTGCGCAGAGCGGGGTTGGCACGGGCGATGTCGAAGACCATATGATCGCCGTACCTCCGCCTCCGGCGTACGGCGATCGCCATGCGAGCACGCTACTCCTTGCGGGTGCGATTCCGGACCGCCTGAGACGTGTGCGGGATAGTGCGAATTCCGCAGCGAGCCTATCATGGGTGGAGGTCAGGCGGACGAGCCAAGGGAATATGGAGCAGAGTGACAGTAGGCCTGTGAGCTATATGAGCCACGATCCAGACTGGGAGGAGCGGCTGAATGCAGATGCAGCTGCAAGGCTGGAGGAGCAACTGACCCAGATGGAGGAGGGAAGTGTAGTGGATACACCTGGGCCGCATAGTGACGCGCGATGAATTGGTATGTCCGTCTAGTTCAAAGGTCAGACCGCAGGTGACTTACGCGTTTGAATATTTGCAGCTTCAGTATATTTCGCTTTGCAGTGACTCGGACATGATTTCTTCGCATTTGGCCATTTTGGCATACTGTACACAATTGTTGACAATTGCTGTTTATAGCTGTTTCCGGGATTTTCCGATTTTCTCTTGCATTGGATGTGTGATGTTTGACTTACAGGAACGTCGTATGCATTATGAGGTATACTATTGGTAAGATTTTAATGTCAATAATCACCGACGTCCAAATCTGCTATGTTTTCGTTGGTTACATGCGTATACTTAAGCTACTTAGAAGAAGTGTACTTGATCGACTGAGGTAAGCGCTGCGACGATCATCCCAACAGCTGTGCGTAAGTGTCACCGCTGGAAAGGCTACCGTCTCGATTTCGTCGTCATCTTCATGTTTAGCTTCGTCTTGCAGGCTGTGCTATCAAAGCTCATCTATTGAGATACGTTGCCGAGACTCCTCATGGTACTTAGTAGCCAGAGCACGACGATCGCCGCGATTGCTCATGACAAATCCAGCTCCGTTTCAAATCTTATATCGTTATGCGAGCTCTATCGCGATGTCCTCCTGTCTCGCATCCGTTTCCATGACTCATAGCCTGGTTTGAATATGCCCGCTCTGGCATTGAGTTTCGCTCCAAATCCTACGGAAAGGTGTTTTATAATGTCCCTCTGTTGCTGACTCTGCCAGTAGGTGAGAAATTAGCATCCTCGTTCTGACAGACATTCGGAATGTCTAGTCTCATACCAAAGCCCTTTACGTGCGAGAGGGGTTTGGGCCGAACCTTTTGGAATATTAGTGTCTTTTACTAACCTCGGCGTTGCATGCAACGGTGTTAACATTCAAGCTTCACCGCTCTGATAACGTAAGTTTAGTCCTCCAATCTTGCATTGTATTCTTGCGAATCCTACAGATCGCAGGCACACACGTAACATTGTACCTTGCATATGATTTTTCAGGATGAAGCTTTGGCCAAGTGTTTAAGGGACAGCCAGCGCCCATGGAGTGGTAGCCATCGCTGTCTAGATCATACACGCTGCTCCAGCTGGGTGCCGTGTTGGCTGTTTGTCAATTGAATAGTAGGTTGAATGTGTCTGCGAGGATCATATTCGGATGAGAGCGCATCGCATACCGAAGGACGCGAGCCATGTGCAGTACTTTACACGGGAACAACGACCACGTGCTCGTGTCCCACCAAGCTCGCAGAGTCGCAACGCGTCTCTCGGTCCATCACCGCGAGCGATATTCTCTTCAATGTTCTTTGTCTTTCTCCTCATAAACTGCTTCCGTCTTCCCCTCCCATCTGCAGGAGATCAGGCTATACTTAGCTTGGACCATCTCCGCGCGGGTACGTGACTGCATTGGGCCCAGCTATTCGTTCCCGAAATGACCGCCTGACCGGACGTTCTCGTCGTCGTGCTCGTTAGCCGCTAGTGAGCCATATGCATCGCACTGCATAAAAGCGGAAGGTGTGTGCTGGAGCTGGCTGTACCGTCCGCCCATGATGCTTTTCTTACTAGCCGCCCTAGGGTTGGCATGTAGCGCTGCCGCACAGTCTACTAGTGTCAGCGCATACATCGCGAGCGAATCCCCCGTCGCTAAGGCCGGCGTACTCGCTAACATTGGGACTGAGGGATCGTTGTCTTCTGGTGCATACGTATGTCCGCATATATAAAGCACATTATCTGCATCCTCTCATCCCACATTCTAGTCTGGTGTCGTAATCGCAAGTCCAAGCACAGTCAACCCAGATTACTTGTATACCTGGGTCCGAGACTCGTCTTTGACTTTCCAAGCGCTCATCGACCAATATGTTTATGGAGAGGACCCTACGCTCAGGTCGCTTATTGACGAGTTCATTACTGCCGAGTCAATCCTGCAGCAGACTACGAATCCAAGCGGAACCGTGAGTACTGGTGGCCTTGGGGAACCCAAGTTTAATATCAACGAAACCGCATTCACCGGTCCTTGGGGTCGCCCTCAGCGTGGTGCGTACTGTATAACGTAATATATGGTGAATAGACGCGGTCGATAATAATCCTGATTCTGCGTAGATGGGCCTGCTCTACGCTCGACCGCAATCATCACTTACGCTACATATCTTTGGAACAGTGGAAACACGTCGTACGTGTCCGACTCGCTCTGGCCAATCATCGAGCTCGACTTAAACTACATCGCGACCTATTGGAACTTCTCAACGTAGGTGTGAACTCGATTTTGACACCTGGACGCGCTGACGGTATTTTTTATGCGACAGGTTCGACTTATGGGAGGAAATTGACTCGTCATCATTCTGGACAACTGCCGTACAGCATCGTGCTCTCCGCCAGGGAATCACATTTGCCAACCTGATCGGACAGACGTCACCTGTGAGCAACTACGAAACCCAGGCGGGTGACATATTATGTTTCTTGCAGGTACGTCACATCTTATCTTTGATTGCGCAGCATGAATGATCATTAATTACTTTCGTTTTCGTCAGACGTACTGGAACCCCACCGGCAACTATATGACTGCTAACACTGGCGGTGGGCGATCCGGCAAGGATTCCAACACCGTCCTGGCTTCAGTGCATACGTTTGACCCTGATGCGGGATGTGACTCTACTACCTTCCAGCCATGCTCAGATAAAGCACTGTCGAATCTGAAAGTATACGTCGACTCATTCCGATCCTTGTATGCGATCAATGATGGGATCGCGTCTGACGCAGCCGTTGCTACTGGCCGATATCCCGAGGATGTCTACTATGGCGGAAATGTGAGTATATACGAACATTTATGACAACAAGTGAGTTGATGAAGTGCCTTTCACCAGCCATGGTACCTTTGCACGTTCGCTGTTGCCGAGCAGCTCTACGATGCGCTCATCGTGTGGTCTTCGCAAGGCTATTTGGAAATCACAGACCTCTCCCTCGCCTTCTTCCAGCAATTTGACTCTGACGTGGGTACTGGAACGTATGATTCGGGCTCGAGCACGTATAGTACGCTTACGAGTGCGATACGCACCTTTGCGGACGGATTTGTGCTCACGAACGCGAAGTACACACCGACGAACGGAAGCCTCAGCGAGGAGTATACCTCCGCGGATGGCACGCCAATCAGCGCGTACGACCTAACGTGGAGCTATGCGTCGGCGCTCACAGTATTTGCGGCAGAGGCAGGCACGACTTACGGGAGCTGGGGTGCGGCGGGCCTGACAGTGCCATCTACATGCACGAGCGGCGTCGCGGTGACTTTTGAAGTCGATTACGACACCGAGTATGGAGGTGCGTGTGCTTTGTGATGATCGATATGCAAGGTAACTAGACGTTAACCGTGCGACGGCAGAGAATGTCTACATTACCGGTTCCGTAAACGCCCTGGAGAATTGGTCTGCGACCAACGCTCTCATTATGTCCGCCGCTGACTATCCGACCTGGAGTAGTGCGTCCTTTATGCAGTATGATACTAGCGTGCATATACTGACGTTTTGCCCTGTGTAGTCACAGTCTACTTGCCGCCGAGCACAACTATCCAGTACAAATACTTGACGCAGTACAATGGGGAAGTCACTTGGGAGGATGACCCGAATAATGAGATCACGACGCCAGCAAGCGGGAGCATGACACAGGTCGATAGCTGGCATTGAGCACTATAGGCTCATGCTAGCGATAGCCGATCAAAATGAAGATGTTGTAGCAAGTGATTGTATGAGATAGTGTTTGCCACACTTGCCATCATGACGCATGGTGTATATTCGAGTTCTGTGTCACCAGCTACTGGACATACAATAAATATAAATGCATTTTGGCGTACTCCAGGACTGTCGCGGGACATCTTGCTGCCGCAGTGAAAGGACACCTCAGCACCTAGTCATATGCATACCCTTAGGTTAGTAGAAACCCTAAGAACAATGTGGGGCAAGAGCATGTGCGACAGCGGAACGAGCCACGCAAACACTAAGCGGTTGGGGTAATGCGGGTCAAAGAGCTTCGTATCACTGTCCCGAGAAGTCGAAAATAGGTACTCGTGTGGATCATGGACGACGTTGCGTGCCATTGCACAAGCACCCAGTGTGGCACATAGATATGTACCGATCTCGGAAAAAGGAAATAAAAACAGCTCACTCACACACGACTAGGAGTCACCATGCTGATGCCAGGTCCCGAAGCAGCAGCACGCAGTTATATATTCATACAAGGCCTAATCGTACCTTAAGGCCCGTAGGCACTAACTCCTTGGGTAGTAGATGTACAGCCTAAAATTGAAGAGACACATATCGACGTAAGCATGTGGACCGACTGACTGCAATCCGGACGGACTCACCTTCCGCATATAATCTTCCCCACCTACCTCCCACCCGCTCTCTGCGACAGGCAGCATACTACTCTCGACAAGCGTCTGCGCCAAATGACCGATCCCAAATCGCTCGCCCGTGTACTTCCGCCACTGCAGTAGATTGCGTAGAAGTTTGTATCGTCGCGCGAGGATTCGACGGCGAGCGGGAATAGCCCCGGGATCAAACCGGGGGTTATTCAGAGCGAGGTAAGGGCCAAGAATTGTATCGGTAGCTGTGACCGCGCCTTGGAATATACTTAAGGTGGATTTCAAGATCATCTGATTGTTCATACGTGCATACGTCATGAGTACTGCAAGACCAGCTCAAAAAAAAAGAGGATACGAACTTCGAATTTCAAGCCGTCCTTCTCTACTGATGCCTCGATTTGCTCTACGAGATCCATCAGAGCCCGAACATTCCGAGTCGAGTACGGATCAAAGCAGCCTCCCTCGATAAGTTTGCAAAGTCGGGGTATTATTACTGTCGAGATCATTGCAGACACAAGATCGCCGTCCGGTCCCATCTCCGGTTCTTCATCTTCATTGCCTTCGTCCCCAATACGCGGACGTGAGTGTTGGTACAACGCATGATACCATGTATAACTGTCCAGCGTCCTGCTGTCCTGAAGACCGGTCCTCAGACCGTCAGTAAACCTCGACAATTTAAACATACTGTCCGGCACTCACCTCGAGAGGAGACCATCCAAGCATCTCTAGCCGAACCCAGAATTCCCAAGCGCTCACCATACCCAATCCTCCCCATGCGCCCGTATAGCTGTCGCCGAATCGTGATCGCCACTCGCCAAACCACTTGCCCAAGCCCCGACTCGGGTTCCTGAATTCCTCTGCTTTCACATCAGACATCAGCTCCTTAGCATCTTTGGCCAGCTGGCTCTTCGCTGACTTGTAATTCGCCGCGTCTGACAGGGAAAGTGACGAGTCTGTCGAATAACCCTCTTCTTCCTGCTCCTGGCCACGACCGTTCGCGCGTCGGAACATACGCCGTGCGCCCCGTGCCTGAACGCGCTCGCGCCGCGCCACCCCGACATCGATAGAGGAAGTAACTCGACCGAGCTCGTCAGTCACCTCTTCTTGGGTCTGAGGCTGGGGCAGAGTACCCAGGAAGACTGAGAGATCGTCTTCGTCATCTGCTTTCCTTCGCTGAGCAATCATATCTGCACGCTCCTTGAGAAGTGACAGATGTTCGTCCTCAAGCCGTTCAACTTGAGGGTACTAAACAGTCAAAATGAGACAAACAAGAGGTACGTTGCAGGAGATTCGATCGTACCTTTTCATCTAAGAAAGTCGCAACGCTCTCCACCCATTCCCTGAAAGCTGCGAACCAACCTCGTTTGTCTTCCGCCTTCGCAATCATCTCCCGCATCTCCTTTTCTCGTGCCTCCAGTTGCAGCCGCTCTTCCCCCAGGGAGGCCATTGAGGTGGAGTTCTGCACATGAGACGTAGTAAGTGCTGTCAGTGATTGTGTTAAACGTGCCACTGCTGCACCAAGGGTCGGAATCGGGGTAACGGGAGGAACTGCGCAAAATCAGCTAGGAAACATGATTTGAAACGATTCATATACGCACTCGGTGTAGGCTTGTATACAGGCTTCGGCGCTTTCTCGATGCTTTCCTCGTTCTGTAAGCCTCCACGACGAAGTTGCTCCTGTTCCCACTCTATTGATTCTTCATCCTGCTCCTCACTTGAGGATATAGTCAAGATCATGTAATGTTGAATACACAGACAACTCACGCATCAGCAATCATCTCATTCATCTCATCTCTCTTTTTCCTCGCTTCCACTTTGCGAGACTTCTTCCCGAGCGCTATTCGCTCCTGAGCACTGGTGTATTCGGCAAATTCTGGTGCCCATGACTCAGTACCTAGCACGCCCCATAGATAAGACAAACATACCATCATCTGCATCGCCCAGTTCATCTTCCTCACGAACTAGGCGACTTTCCGGGTGCGGACCCTGTGAGTAATCGCTGCGCTTCGTGACAGAAAGAGATATATAGTCTTCTCCTCCACTTGTCCCCGAAGCACGCAAACGCTCACGCTTCTGTTTTGCGGCAAGAATGGAGGAACCAGACGGAATTGCTGTCTCGCCGTCAGGATCTATTTCAAGTTCAAGTTCAGCGTGCTTTACACCCGTACTCGAACCAGCACCATACCTGATAGATCTATGACACCAGTAAGCGACGACTGTGGAAGGGCATCTGCATCCACAGACATATCTGCATCGTATGACATGTCCACATTGGCAGAAACGGATGGACGTGTCGTTGGGGTGCTCGCTTTCAACTCATTGAGATATGCTGCGTCATACGTAGGAGCGCCGTTTGATCTAGTGGTAGAGGACAAGTCGACTGAAGATGGTATGGCATTTCTGTAAGCAATGTTAAGGTACTGACACGCAACGAACAGAGATCTTACATACTGGGCTGGGTGCTTCCCCAACGTCAATTTCCGACTGAGGCTCGATTTCTTCACCTGGAACACCTCCCCATCCCCTTCCTACTCCCACCCGGCTTTGAGCAGTTGTCCACTTTCGCAATATGACATCCTACCTCATCAGCTCCAAAGCTAAGCTTGCTCTTGGGCTTTTCGCGCGACTTGATCTTCTTCTTGAGCTTTGTTGCAAGGACACTAGGAGACTCTTCTACATCTGCGGTCTCTCCCGGTGTGACAGAGCCATCCTCAACATCCGGAGTAGAGACACGAGACCGTTGAGCAGGTTTTGATTTGGTTCGCTTGAAGATGACAGGTTCGCCAGACATCACAATGCGGTCGACAAGATTGCGAAGCTTGAGTACACAGCGGCGATCAAGCGCGAAAACCAAATCACGTGAGCCAAGTGATAGCAGTGCGGGAATTGCCTTTTCAAGATGTGCGCGCCAATGCCAACGCGGCATACAGCTTCAGTTCAGAAACTTGTACGTGCTTGCGTTACTTTCGATGCCTACATCTCCCGTCAATGGTACCGTTTATAATTTTATAAAGTACGTATCAACCACCCAGGATATAAGTATTTTGTGACCGTGGAGATGAACTGTAAGCTGCAATGAGCAAATACCTCAAACGTATTCGTATCCGTATGTAATTAAAACCCGACGACTTCTACTAAATCGCCATCCTCCAGATCCGCATCGCCAATTGCAGACGCTGAATCCAGTTTGTCACCGTCGAGCATGAGCATAGGTCCGACAGGAGCTTTAGCTTTCTTCCCTCTGCCCTTATTCGCCGACGCCCCAGCCGTCTCGAACTGCTCAGCTAGTCCCGCTTTCTTCAAAAAGGCTTTGACAATGGCACCGCACGTCGTCGACGGACGTACAGTGAGCACAATGTCTTTAGTTTTCCCTGACCGCAACGTCAGTTTGAACTTGTCTTCTTCAGACGCGGACTCGTTTCCAGTCTCTGGCTCCGATTCATCTTCGGTGATAGATACAGCTTCTGCAGTTGCCGGTTTGTCCAAGCCCTCTGGTTGAACTGAAATTGATCGCTGACGTCGACTGGTTTGGAGGTACTCATATGTCGCTACAGTGTATGCCTCTACCAGATATTGAACATTCGTTTTTCTAAGGTTCTGTATATGAAGGTGGTACACATACCGAGCTCTGCCTCCGCCCATACGTGTAAACTATGCGGCGTGGCCGATTGAAAGACGCGCCGATTGTCATAGGTGACTATCATGCTTTCTACTGTAACAGACGCTTCGTCCGCAGTTGCTGAAAAGACTGATTGGAAAGATTGGTGCTATAGCTGTGTGAGTAGCTCGACAACAAGTGCAAGCACTGATGAAACTGACCCTGTTCAGTTGGAATGGCAGAGTCCACGTCTGCGACGATTTGTCTTGAGGATGCGGTACCCATCTAACTTTCAGGGTCACAGTAGGTGGTCCACCAGTATCCGGAGGAGAGGACGTCCCACCAAACCGAAGTTGCGAAGATTGCGACTTCATTTGCTGTGCAATGGATGCTAATTCCGGATCTAATACAATTGTGTCTGTCGAGTCATCCGCGAAATCGACAGGTGGGGACTCAGAGCGAGACACAGCACCAAGAAATTGTCTGTCGATCGTTGATCAGCGCTTGACGGGGGTATTTGCTGTCACACGTACCGAACTGCGTCTCGAGCATTGCGCATCGCTTCCAAAGGGACAGCCGGGGGTGGTGTAATAGATCTTGAACGACTCCGTGGGCGTTTCCTGTCATTGGTCGTCTCAGCAACGACCTTCTGGCGTTTATTAGCTATGCGTTTGGCCTCCGTATGGGATAGAATGATGATGTCGTCCTCATCATCAGAGGTCAAAATCCTGGAAGTCGATGACATTAGTACAAAATACGCAACAAGACAAATATCGGGGTTAGACGCACGACTTCGCCCTGGCCGAATCTTTCGTCCAATCCGGAAGGGTTCCTTCTTCTTTGCCATACTTTTTCTTCTTCGGCTTCCATCGACGAGGAGTAGAGTTTTCGCGGTCCGAACTACCCTCTTCTGAGCCGCTGACCTGACGAACGAGCTCCTTCGCTAAATAACCAAGAAAATAGTCAGCGGCGCGTCCACGACCCAGCGAAATGAGGTCTAGCCAACCCATCCACGGAGCGCATAGCGCCGCATCACATTTCGCGACAGGGCCATGCATACACCCACAGCACCCCTACGCGCCATGTAGAAAAACCTCTAAAGTCTAGGCGAAAGGCGACACTAACTCTCTGCAGCTTGTTTTAACTTCTTCCATGTTTGCGCTGTACGCCCACGGTTCCGAATGAACATAGCATCTTCGTCTTCAGCAGCAATTTGAGTGACAACAGGCGGCGGGGTAGAGGTGGCCGCCGAAGGACTTGTGGCGGGAGCTTCGGAGGTAGCGGCTAAGCGACGCGGTCGGGGCCTAGGACGCGTCGACATTGCGGTCACAAGTTAAACGCGAAGCGTGGGAATCTTTCAATTCGCGGGGAGGTCAATACGCGCTCACGTGATTGAAGCCCTAATTTAGATCTCTTGGCATTATCTTGAGTCCCCCGATTGGAATGACTCCCTCTCGTACCCTGCGAGTAGATGCAGCACTGTTCAAAACTTGCACGTAGGCTTTCCAAGCTGGCTCAAATTTCCTCCAAATTTCTGGGTCTTCTCGAGCGTACACATCGCTGCATAGCAATCATGATTGAGAAAATCCGAGTTATTGAGATTGGTGTTTATGTTTAATCACTGTCTCTATTGAAGTGCATGAATATAAACTACTCGAATAGTCAACGTTATTATTAAAGAGTACTGGTAGTATACTAGTAGGCTGGTCCGAGTCGACTGTCGCAAAATCATCCTACTTTCCAATTCTGGCAATTATGATTCACGTGATCTCCCATCAAACATTTTCTGGTTCATGAGTCGGGATGCCACAAACCGACTACCCCCCACGAAGGACTCCTCATACGCGCGTCCAATCGATCTCTCTGTAGACAATGTCGAACGTGTTCTCTCTCCAAGGCCGCGGTCTGAAGCTAAATACACGCGCAGACATCGAACCCCACCTCAAAGATGTCTCAACCACGATCGAGGAAATTCACCTCGGGGGAAACACGATCGGTGTAGAGGCAGCGCAAGCTCTCGCAGAGTTTCTTTCAAAAACCACCAATCTCAAAGTGAGTGCGCACACACCTCGCTCTGACCCACTTGTCTCTGGCTTATTCTTCTCTCCAGATCGCTGACTTTGCAGACATCTTCACCGGCCGGCTGATCAGCGAGATCCCGCAGGCCCTCTCCGCCATCTGCGACGCGCTCATCCCCAAAACGACGCTCGTCGAGATCGATTTGAGCGACAACGCTTTTGGCGGCCGCTCCGTCGACCCCATGGTGCCCTTCCTCACGCAGAACCGCTCGTTCCAGGTCCTCAAGCTGAACAACAACGGCCTCGGCCCCGCGGGCGGCGCGACCGTCGCGGACGCGCTCCTGCGCTCTGCCGAGCTCAGCGCGGCCGCGGGCGAGCCGTCGAACCTGCGCGTCGTCATCTGCGGGCGCAACCGCCTCGAGGACGGCGCCGCGCCCGCATGGGCGGCCGCCTTCTCTGCGCACGGCGGGCTCACGGAGGTGCGCATGCCGCAGAACGGAATCCGCATGGCGGGCGCCGCGGCGCTCGCGCACGGGCTTTCGAGCTGCGCGGGCCTCGCGCACTTGGACCTGCAGGACAACACGTTCGGCGAGACGGGGTCCGTGGCGATGGCGACGGCGCTGCGCGCGTGGCCGTCGTTGCGTTTCTTGAATCTGTCGGACTGTGTCTTGGCGGAGGAGGGCGCGGTGTCGCCGGTGCTGGAAGCGCTAGTGGGTGGGTCAAATCCGAAGCTGGAGGTGCTCCAGCTGCAGAACAATAATTTGGAGGCGCAGTCGTTCTCGCTGCTTGCTGAGGGCCTCGAGCTTCACTTGCCAGTACTGAAGATGCTAGAAATGCAGTGGAATGAGGTAGAGGAGGATGATGAGGGCATTGCAGCGTTGTTGAGATTGATGAAGAAGCGGGGTGGTAAGCTCGTGCTTGACGATGAGGAAGAGGAAGAGGAAGAGGAGGAGGAGGAGGAGGAAGAGAAAGAGGCTGATGCGAAACAAGAGCCCCCAGCGTCGAAAGACAAGGTCGACACAGCCGCAGACGAGCTCGCCGATCTACTAAGCAAGGTAGCGATTAAATCATAATGAATCCGCGAGACTGTAGAGTAAATTTCCCTCGGTTCTAATTGGTTTGCATGGAATACTGTACGAGTTGAGAAGGAAAGTCGCCGTTACTTCACTGTATACCATAGTTGCCATACCATGCAACGTGTCATTATCCATCTACATACAAGTCTGGTGTTCTGTAGCACCATACGTCGTCTAGAATATAGCCACAATGCCCAAACGCCCCCTGTCTCCGATCTATTCTAGGCGCTGCTCCGGCCACCCCACTTGGCCGCCTCCTCCTCCGACTTGTACCGCGCAAACACATGGATGTGCGCCAAGCCCGGGACACTTTGCAGGCGCTGCACCACGTCACCAGTGTGAGCAGACATACGCACCCTCGCAGACGGGCCACAGAACCCACACGCACCGGGGGGTTGACAAACCACGCCGTCTCCCATTCCGCCTCGGGCCACCGCCGCGCGACGAACACGCTGACCTCCGCGCCCGCCTGGCGGACGAGTGCCTCCTCCTCCTCCGTCCCGGGCGGGGAGCGCACGAGCTTGTCCAGCGTGACGCCCCACTCGGCGAGGGCGGGCAGGCATGCGGGCAGCGCGTCCGGGGACGGCGGGGACTCGAGCAGCCCGGTGAAGCCCCACAGGCCGTCCTGCAGGAGGCGCGGGGCGACCGTGGGCGGCAGCTCTGGCGGGAAGATGGGGAGGCGCGTCCAGACGAGCGCGTGCTCGATCTCCGGGGGCACTGCGCGTGGAGGGGGGGGGGGGGGGGGGGG